CTGGCTATGTTGTTTTGCCTTGTAGGTTGAGTTGCTTCAGCACCTCTTCCAGTTTCCCCCAAAGTGTCTTAAGTTGCTGCCACACTGTAGAATTAATGCAGTTTGACCCTGCTTGAACTCCCATGGCTCAATGCTATGGAATCCTGGGATATGTAGTTTTCTAAGCTATTTAGTTTCCTTCATGAGAGAGCTCTGGTGTCCCACCAAACTACAAATCCTAGGATTCTATAGCATTGGGGCCATGGAAGTTAAAGTGGTGTCAAACTGCTCTATTTCTGCCGTTTGGCAACAGCCTTAATATATATTTTTTGATGTATTTATACTGAGAACTTCACTTTGAGCAAAGTTTTGCCGGTCAGTCTCCCATGCCCCTCCATTCATTCCCAGCACAGTCTCCTCTCTCATGCCAGTACAAAGTGGGAAAGAAGAAGCTTTTTAAACAAATTATTAGCTGTCTCCCTTGTAGTCTCTGTCATAGCATAATTGTGTGCTTTCAAGTACCCTTTGGTTCGGAAATACAACAGTTCTGAGTATAATTAAATGACTATATCTTGGCTGGTAAGTGCTTTTATTACTGGGTAGAATAGTGTTCCTGTTCCATGGTTAGGGAAGTTAATTTCCATTTTCTTAAAGCCATTTTAAGGATGCTGGGCTCCTTTGAGTTCAGGCAACTTTATTTGGAGAGCAGGGCCTTCTTTGCTGTAGCCCCTTTTTGGGTAGAATTCACTCCTCTTGGATGTTTGCAAGAGACCCTTACAGCAGATACTTTTCCAGCTTCAGGCCACTAAGGTTGCATCTACACTTTAAAAATAATGCAGTTGGACACCACTTGAACTGGCTCTGTCCTATAGAATCCTGGGGTTTGCAATTTGGTGCGGTACCAGCACTCTTTGGATGAGAAGGATAAAGACCTTGTAGAACTGCAAATCCCACGATTCCATAGGATGGTGCTACAGCGCTTAAAAGAGGTGACCATGGGTTACCATCTCTATTTTGCAGGACCATAAGTCACTTCCTTGACACATCTGGTTTCTGCAGCTGCATCAGCATGGCAGGATTAATGCAGTTTGATGCTGCATGGCTCCCTGCTGTGGAATCCTGGGATTTGTAGCTTTGTGAGGTATTTAGAGAGCTCTGGTGCCACACAAAAAACTATAGATCCCAGGATTCCATAGCACTGAGCCATGGCAGTTAAAGCAGTGTCAGACAGCATTATTTCTTGCAGTGTGGCAGCAGCCCTAATCCCAGTTTGGCATTTGTTGTGGCACCAGTGCTCTCTAACAGAAAGGGCTAAACATCTTGCAAAACTACAAATCACATCATTCCAGAGCATTAGGCCAGGGCAGTTAAAGCAGTGTCAAACTGCATTAATTCTGCAATGCAAATGCATCCTCTATTTGTTGTTGTTGTTGTTGTTGTTGTCAGGAGGAGGGTGTCTCCTCCCTTGAAACTTGGGATAAACCCCAAACTATGCCAGCTAAAGGCTTTTGAAAGTGTGCTTGCGAGTGGGGTTTGCCCATTTTTAAAAAATCTAAAAGAAAGATTAAAAATAAAAGGAAGATAAAAATAGAGGAAAGATAAAAATAAAGGAATGGGGAGCCAGTGTGGTGCAGTGGTTTGAGCGTTGGTCTATGACCCTGAAGATCACGGTTCAAATCCTAGCTTGGCCATGGACAACCCCTGGGTGACCTTGGGTGAGTCACATTCTCTCAGCTTCAGAGGATGGCAACAGCAACCCACTTCTGGAGAAACTTGCCAAGAAAACCCATAATAGGTTTGCCTTAGGGTCACCATAAATCAGAAACGATTTGATGGCACACAACAACAACAACAGAAAGATAAAGTGGGATGCTTTGAGGGTTAGGACTAAAGGACCATGTGAAAAGCAAACCTTGATTTTGCTATTTTATATAAGGGACACCATTTCACCATGCCACTGTATTTAATGGGACTTGAGCATCCATGGATATCGGTATCCAGGGGGTTCCTGGAACCAAACCTCATCCTATACCAAGTTCCCAATGTACGGAGAATTAACTCTTTGAGTCCCCTGCCTTGTAAAACAACCTTTCTCAAACTGATTCGATATTTCTGTTTGCAAAGGCAGTTTGCAAAGTGGCGCAGTGATGGGGAAGAGGAGCAGAAAGAGGTCATTGCTCTCCCAAATAAAAAGCCTGCCCTCTCCAAATGAAATGTTCCTTCAGTCCCCAAATTTCCAGCACTGCAATCGCTTAGGATTTCCTTTGCGCATTCAGAAATACAGTGTAAGCATCCAAAGGGTAATGTGAACACAACAAATAGAACAGTTATATATGTGAACAATTTTCAATCTCTCACTCTAGAAATTTGGGGATTGCAAGAAAATTTAGTGGGGGGGGGTCAAGTTTCTTATTGGGGGCACAATGCCTTCACTGAGATCCATTGTGGTGTTGTGGTTTGACTGTCGGACTATGACTCCGGAGAACAGGGTTCGAATCCTGGCTCAGCCATGGAAACCCTCTGGGTGACCTTGGGCAAGTCACACACTCTCAGCCTCAGAGGATGGCAATGGCAAAACCCCTCTGAAGAAACATGACAAGAAAATCCCAGGATGGGTTTGGTTTGCCTTAGGTTGCCAGATGTTGGAAACAACTTGAAGGCATCAAGAACAAACAAGATGCTTTCACCCATCCAAGTGACACTACAGAATTGACATTTTTTTAAAAAAATAATTTTTTGCTTAACACTTTTAAGATCCATGTCTCCTGCCACCAAACAATTTAAAAACCAAGACACTCCTGTTTTTAAAAGTACTGTATTCTAGGCTTAAATAGTATTTCATTTGATATTGGCCACTAGAGAGCAGTATGACAAAAAAACAGCCCTGGTTTCCTACTATCTTTAGAAATGATTAATTTATTTTAAAAATTGCTATTGTTACCAAATGTGAAAGCTCACATTTTCTATTATTTATTCATTCATTGATGGCGAATTCTCAAATCCTCCTGTTACTAGAGTCAAAGGAATGTTGGATTGGGTTTTCAAAAGGGAGAGAAATTTACACTAGACTTATGCAAGACTCAGGTTGCTGCTACACTGAAGAATTAATGCAGTTTGAGACCGCTTTAATGGTGATGACTCAATGCTATGGAATTTTGGGATATGTAGTTTGGGTGAAACAGTTAACCTTCTCTGTCTCACAAAACTACCCATCCCAGGATTCCATAGGATGGAGCCATAGCAGTTGAAGCAGTGTGAAATTGCATTATTTCTACAGTGCAGCTGTATACAATCAAAATCAAAACAATATACATTCAGAAATGGGCAAAAATAAACACATGGAGGAGGGAAAACAGAATCATGCTTGTTGTCCATGTCCCATCATCCACAGGCCCATCCAACCTTGTAAACTTGAACCTAGAAATGAGTATATAAGCTCCTTTTGGGATCATCTGAACCAAAGGTGTATCCACACTGTAGGAATAATGCAGTTGACACCACTATAACTGCCATGGCGCCATCCTATAGAATCCTGGAATGTGTAGCTTTATGAGACACAACACTTTTTTTCATAGAAGGCTAAAGACCTTGTAAAACTACAAATCCCAGGATTCCATAGGATGGAGCCATGGCAGTTGAAACAGTGTCAAACTGCATTATTTTTACAATGTAGGAGCACCCTAAGTAGCACCTTTCTGTGTTCATTGGAGTTCAATTAAAAATGAATTTTATTGACATCACTGCTTCTGGTGGTTACATTTTAAACTATATTTCCCATAATCCCCTAGCCAACCAGCCAGTTTGGGATTGGAAGGGGCTGATCACATGTTTCTAAAGGACCTTGAGTCCCTATATTGGGCGAAAGGTGGCATATAAGATGATGGTGATGATGATGATGATGATGATGATGATGATGATGATATACCCCACTCATTCACACCACAGACCTCCATTGCTTGGAGTGGCCCCTTGAAGTTTAAGGTGGGATCTGGGGATCAATTCTTTTGTAGCGATGTTTCCAAAGTCACAAATGCAATCTAGGACCTCGGTCCTCATGTTATGTGCCCAAAACTGAATTTTCTGCATTCAGAAAATATTCAGAATTATTATTTCCTGTGCAGGAAATACTCTCTCCTGCTTAGAAAACCGGTTGCCAAAAAAAAATAAAAAAAAAAAATGCAAATTTTGCACTAAATAAGACCCAGACTGTGAAGATTCTTATTAGTCCAGGACTCTTCTCATCATGTTTTCCAGATGCTCAAGAAACATGTTTGAACCACTTTTGAATACTTTTGAATATGCTTTCCAGCTCTACTCCTGAACACAAAACAACCCTTTTAATATCATTAGTGCTAACACTGGGCTAAAATGATGCTGACCTAAAGACTCCAAAACCCATGTGCCAGGTGTCTGGAGTCCACATCTACTACACCGTGTCTGAGGCTGAATATTCCTTCTCCATGGTCATTCATGATGCTGAAATACCATGAGTCCTGGAATGATTTTGCATTCCCCTTTGTATCCCAGTGGGCCACATCTACTATTCACAGAAATCCTGGGTTAAAAATACCAAAGGACATGCTGTCCCATGCTTGGCAGTGGTCAACATCTCTTTCATGCCATGTAACCCCTTGGCACTGGGCGCAAAACCTGCCATGTTGCGGCAGGTGCTTTTGCATTCTTTGCCCAATGTCTTGAGTTACTCTGGTATCTTTGGATTTTCATTGGGAAGCATATCTAGGGTGCCAGAGGGCTGCTCCATGTCATCTTTGAGCACCAAGACTATGGATATTCCATCCAAGAGATCCATTCCACTTTCCGCCTCCCTTCAAGAATCCATTTCTTAGCGGCATGAATCTTTAAATTGCTTGTTCCAGCAGAAGAGAACAAATAATTTAATCTATGTCGTCCCTGTTGCAAGCTTGTCTATGAAAACTGAGCATCTTTTCATCCTCTGTTTCAATTTCAACTTTTGTATGTTTTTAATTATTGTTGTTGTGTGCCTTCAAGTTGTTTCCAACTTGTGGCAACCCTAAAGTAAAGATATCATGGGGTTTTCTTGGCAGGACTTATTCAGAGAAGGTTTACCATTGCCGTCCCTTGAGGCTGAGAGCATGTGCCTGGCCAAAAAGCACCCAGGGTGTTTTGTGTCTGAGCTGGGCATCGAACTCTGGTCCCCAGAGTCAGATGCTCAAACTATGCTGGCTCTCAACATATCGGCTTTTATTGTAATTTGTTGCCTTGAACCCCAGAGCTCTATCACATTACAGAAATAAAGCAGTTTGGCACTACTTTAACATTCATGGTTCCATCCTGTGTAATCCTGGGATTTGTGGTTTGGTAAGGTATACTGCCTAGACTGTCAGAGAGCTCTGGTGCCTCACCAAACTATATATCCCAGGATTCTGTAGGATAGAGTCATGACAGTTAAAGTGGTATCAAACTGCTTTAACTTTTGCAGTGTGGATTCACCCCAGTCTGGGAGAAAGGTGGAATATTAGTCAAGGGATGATGGTGGCCAGTATTAAACCAACAAAAGAATAAATACAATTTCAAATATTATTTTAAAACAAAGTTTTGGGGGAAACAACAGTCCAACAGTCTGTTCCCAAAGGCTGTCATTTGCCACCAGAAAGATTGCAAAGAAGAAACCATCCTAGCCTCCCTAAAGAGAAAGTTCCAAAGGCTGAGAACAGCTATAGAGAAAATCTACTCCCATCTTCCCACCAAATAAGCTTGAGAAGGTGGTGGGATAGAAATAAGGACCTCCCTTGAAGATGTCAGAAGGATGTTGAAAAACTGGAGCGTGTCCAAAGGAGGGCGACTAAAATGGTGAAGGGTCTGGAAACCATGAAGCCCTCTGAGGAACGACTTAGGGAGCTGGGGATATTTAGCCTGGAGAAGAGAAGGTTAAGAGGTGATATGATAGCCCTGTTTAAATATTTGAAGGGATGTCATATTGAGGAGGGAACAAGCTTGTTTTCTGCTGCTCCAGAGAACAGGACCTGGAATAATTGATGCAAGCTACAGGAAAACAGGTTCCACCTCAACATTAGGAGGAACTTCCAGACTGTAAGGGCTGTTTGACACCTTGGAGTGTGGTGGAGTCTCCTTCCTTGGAGGTCTTTAAACAGAGGCTGGATGGTCATCTGTCGGGGACAGTTTGATTTTGAGTTCCTGCATGGCAGGGGGTTGGACTAGATGGCTCTTATGGTCTCTTCCAACTCTATGATTCTGTGATTCTATGTGGAGACTGTTATTTGTTGTTGACTGCCTTCAAGTCGACCTCAACTCACAGTGACCACGTGGATGAAGCATCTACAAGTCCCCATGTCCTCCACTGCTCTGCTCAGGTCCTGCAAGATTAAAGCCATGACCTCTCTTATTGAGTCGATCTATCTGGGATGCAGTCTTCCTCTCTTTCTACCACTTTCCACCTTTCCTAGGCTTCCAGAGAGAATTCAGGCTTGATCTGTTCAAGGACCTACTTCTTTGTCTTTTTGGGCATCCATGGTATCCTCAGCATTCTTCTCCAGCACCACATCTCCAATGATCCCTCCACCTTTCCTATCTACTTTCTTAATTGTTCAGCTCTTGCATCGGTACATGGTGATAGGAAATACAGTGAACCGGACGGTTCTTTAGTTCTGAGTTGTATATCTTTACACTTTAGGACCTGTTCTAGCTCTTTCATGGCTGCCCTGCCCATTCCTAATCTTCTTCTGATTTCTTGACTGCTGTCTCCATTCTGATCAATGTTTGATCCAAGGTATGGGAAATCCTTAATTATTTCAATTTCTTCATTGTCTAAATTGAATTTCTGTAACTCCTCTGTGGTCATGACACTAAGTACAGTGGCTGCATAAGGATCAGCAAATGTCAGCTCTTCAGCAAAATCTGCCCAAATGAGGAATGTTACTTGGTCTTTTAGTTGGTAGTGGAGAATACAATTGCAGTACACTTCCAGTCTGAATTCTAAATGCTAGTAATAGTATTTAAAGCCCTAAACAACTAGGGCATTGATAGTTTAGGAAACACCTCTCCATACACACACACACACACACACATTCCTGCCTAAGAATTGAGATCTGTTGAAAGGATTCACCTCCATATCCCATTGGTAGGAGAAATATATTGTGGGTAGACATAAGCATAGCAATCTGGGATTCTGGGATCAAACTCACAACCTTGTGGCTGGGGTATTGGCATTTAACCGCTGCACCACCAGGGCTCCCTAAGAGAAGGTCTTTTCTATTGTGGCACCCCAGTTGTCATGAATCTATCACAAGGTTTTCTAGGGCTGAGAGTATGTGACTCACCCAAAGTCACCCAGAGTTTGATTCCCTGCTCAGCTGTGGAAACCCACTTAGGGTTGCCATAAGTCAGAAATGACACACAACAACAACAACAACAATCATATCACATGCATAGACTGGATAAAGTTATTTGGGCCCAAAGCAAGCCAGGCACCAGTTTGCAAACATTATTGGCTGTTGTTGTGTGCTTTCAAGTCATTGCCAATTTATGGTGACCCTAAGGCAAGTGAGACCCAGTATAGCATAATGGTCTGAGTGCTGGACTATGACTCTGGAGACCAGGGTTCGACTCCCAGCTTGGCCATGAAACCCACTGGGTGATCTTGAGCAAGTCACATTCTTTCACCCACAGGGAAAGTCAACGGCAAACCTCCTCTGAAGAAATCTTGCCAGGAAAACCCCATTATAGATTTCCTTAGGGCTGCCATAAGTCGGAAATGATTTGAAGGCACACAACAACAACAAAGGCAAACTTATCATGAGGCAAGAGGAGGTTTGCCATTGCAAACATCTTCGCGGGGGGGGGGGGGGGGGGACTCACCTGATGAGAAAAGCACAAGGAAGGAGGCAACTGAGAAAGAGTAAGAAGGAATGCAGAATTATAGACATGGCCTTGCTGTTGGAAGACAAAAAGCACTAGCACATTTAGCAAGCCACCAGTGAGGGGTGACAGAGAGACACAGAGGAGAAGGTGGCCTTCTGCATCCATTGACTTCTTCTTTGTGGTCATATTTCTTCAAGTTGGTTCTGATTTATGGCCCTAAAATGAACCTATCATGGGGTTTTATGAGTAGGTGCCCCTTTATTATGCAAACTGTGCTATTTCATTTTATCTATCCTAAACCTCGCACCATCCGGCTTCATCGGACAATCTCATTGATCGGCTTTTAGTATCATGAGAGCACCAACATGGCATAGTGGTTTGAGTGTTGGATTATGACTGTGGAGACAAGGGCTCAATTCTCCGCTTGGCCATGGAAACCCATTGGCTGATCTTTGGTGAGTCACACCCTCTGAGCTCCACAAAACCTCATGATGGGTTTGCCTTAGGATGGCCATAAGTTGGAAATAACTTGAGGGTGCACAACAGCAACAACAATAGTATCAGAGAGAGAAACAAAGGGGCGGAAAGAAATCTGCCTTTCATCTTTCCTTACAACATTCATTATTAAAACACA